ATGCCATCTGCTTGTGGCAAGGCTGTCTCCCTTCCTCACCTTTACACACCTTTCATGCACAGTGAGCTGGTGGCTAAATACTCCCACAGGTCATTGCATTAAGAAAGCAGGATGTATGCAACCAACCTCTGAGCACTTCCTGAAATTTAGTGATGGCAGTGACCATATGCAGAACACACAGTTAGTGTACAAATCAATCTGATGTCAATTTGGGGGTGGCAACCCTGATTCACATCTGGAGACATTCTTGGGCATCAGTTACATTTGATCAGAATTCCACAAATGGCTCTCAGCCCAACAGAAGGGAAAAAAAAAGCATACCGTGAAACGTGGAGCCAGGGCTTGAGACTGCCAGTGTGTGTGTGTGTGTGTGTGTGTGTGTGTGTGTGTGTGTGTCAGATAATAACCATTATCCGTTAACCACCATGCCATGGACCATGGAATTTAAAATTCAAGAAAAAAATAACAAAAAAAAAATATTTTAAGATTTTGCCCAGTTGCCTTCTAGCTTGGACTCCATGAGGGTGGAGCTGTAGTTCTGTCTCCAGTAGTTTCTTCATTTGATGTAGGGCAGGTGAGTGAATGAGAAAAAGAGAAATAAAGAGGAAAAAAAAAAGGAACAGAGCTGCTCCTAGGTATGATGCAGGACAAGGTTTTATTGTAGATACATGTGGGAGAGTAGCCAGAGGCAGAGACCTCTGGGAAAGTCCAGAGTGGACATGACCAGACTGAGCTGTGCCTTGTGAGGAGAGGGGGAGGGGAAGGGAGGGGAGGGAGGAGGCAGGTGCAGCAGCCAGAAGGCCCAAATGTACAAAGAGATCAGGCAAGCAAAGTGGTTGGATTATGTAGGGAAGGGCAGCCCAGCCCCCTGGGCTGGAAAGTTCAGTGTGTGTGTGTGTGTGGGGGGGGGGGTGTTATGCCAGCTAGGAGGGTGCTGCAACAGGGAGGGACTGGAGGATGCAGGGAGAATGTGGCAGCCAGGTCTGCTTTGATGTGTTAAATAGGCACCTCAGCCTTTTGTCCCAGGTTTGAAACCTAACACCCCAGCCTTTTTGTTGATATTAAATAAATGATACAGAATGACAGGTAATCTTCTCTATGACTATTTCCTGTTGACATTGGGCATCGCTGTTGGTGGGGGGCAGGAAATCTGGAATGCTGGTCCAGGAAGAGCATACTGTTTCAGTTGCTGTCCACACTCTGCTGGGACCATCTGGGGCAAGAAAAGTGCTGGATGCTTTGGAGCAGTTAGTGAGGCTGGACCACCTGGGGTAGTTGCTTTGATGCTGTCCTGGACGCAGATTTTGAGGGAACACCTTGTTGCTGGAGCTGTCTGCAGTTGCTGGAATCTGCTGGAACAAGTAGAGTAGAAAGAGAAGGTAAAGGAAAAGAGTTTAGGGAGTGCTGTTTTTCTTGGGTGCATATTTGAAACTTTCAGGCTCACAGTCCTGGGACTTGGGGAAGGGGAGTCCCAAGATTAGGGAAGAGAGAAATCCCAGACTCAGGAATAGGTGCAATAGGCAGGAGGGAACAGGTTGTTGATTGATAGTACTTATTTGGAGTAGGCTTAACTTGTGAGAGGTGGATCCAAATTGATTCTGTGATTCTTACACGAATTTTTAAAAGTTTATAAAAGGAGACAAAATTTCAGATATGTTAGCATTAACACTGTGTGTAATCTGTACTGAAATCCACATTGTAGAAAGAGCAGCAGATCACACCTTTAGTCTTAGTAAAAAACTTGGGAACCCAAAATGATTTTGGGTTAAAAGCATTAATACTCTTTCCTCTATCCAGAAGACTGGGTGTATATAGACTAGAGAGATTTTTTTTAATTTTTATTTTTAATTAAAATTTTTTTAGCAAAACAAGAAGCAATTTTAAGTCTATACTTGGAAAACAACCAAGGGAAATTAAAAATCTTGACTTGTGGCTATGGTAATAGTAGTCAGTTACCAGAGCTAGATTTATAGCTTATCAGAACTCTATTGATTAATGTCAAAACTCTGAACAATAACATAGAAAGGGAAAGAAATCTGAAGCCCCTTTTATCTTTTATATGCCGTAAATTATTATTTTTTAAATTATTTACCATGAGACACAGGTCAGGTGGTTGATTACTGATAGCAATCATTGCAAAGCAAGTTACTTTAAATAAAGGAATAGTAAAAAGTTACTTTGAAACCTGTTTTGTGAGTTTACCTATTTTCAGAGTCTGGTAGCAAATTGCCTTTCTTAGCTGGAGGCTTAGAAGCTCTAGGTAAGTGAGGTCTAAGACCTGATTTTTATATATAAAGAGAAGACAGCTGTAACCTTGGAAAAGAAGCTGGTGTGCTTGATGGTGTTAAAACCAACGTCAGTTAAAAATCACCAGAGATCTGAGAAGGATAAATTATAGCTGGAAGTAGAATCTAAATGGTCTATGTATTGATTAAAATGACATCGATATCCCCATTACCTTAGGTGGGTTACCTTAGGCTCTGGTGATCTCCATTGGTGGCAGTAGTCACAGGTCTTCAGCTGTCATACTGGACAGCATTTAATCTTTAGCTGACATGCAGAGCAACATAGGCTGCCAGACCCAAGTATGTGATTTTTCTGTAGAGGAGCAACTTGGGGACTGACCTTACTTTGACCAAGCCCAGTAGAGCAGTCAACCCCAGAAGTGTCCACAGTTTGAGCAGAGCCCTGGTAGCAGGCAAGGCAGAGAGGATCTTTTGCCCAGTTGTTAGCATTACCACAATCCCATCTATCTTCTTTGGATACCCCAAGGGTTGGTTCCCTCTAGGAGGGGGCAGTTCTGTCTATTACGGGAAGCTGAAAAATTTTAAATGTCTTATTTAGCAAATCTCTGAAGAGTTTGAAAGTAGCTTATATAAGGTTAGGATTTTATAGCTTTATCCCTGTTAAGTTTGAGCCTTAAACTGTGAGTTGAAGATTTAATTGACAAACCTTTGGCATCTAAATAGAATATCACCAGTTTTTTATGAATTAGTTTATTCAAATATCCAAAGCTTAACAAAGTGAACAAAGATAAAGAAGCTAGACAACCATTACTACTATGAACTTGAGTAGACATTAGGAATTTATAAACCTAGATTACCTTAGTCATTAAACATACTCACTACTTTCTAATAGCCTGGTGTTGAACAGTTAGCAAATGCATAAGCAGTTACACAAATATCTTAGATCAGCTTTTGTTAAATTGAGTAGATTCTTTGTAACGTTAAAATTTTATCATCATATATAGTATATTCTGAGGCAGAGTTGAATCATATATATAGTATGTTATAGCAAATTACAATTACCTTTGTTTAGGTTTAACTATAAACCTTCTGTTACAAGTTTTAAACCAAATTTTGTTATGGATTTTATAGATTTTTAAACACAACAATGAACAATTTACAAATCCTGAGATAAGAGTTTCCGGCATAGTCTTAGTTTTTTTTTTTTTTTTTTTTTTTTTTTTTTGGGCGCAGGGTGCTCTCATAGAGACAAATGATTTTTAAGGGTGGGAAGTTGTAGACCCTTAGTGATAAGAGGCTTTGAAAGTATAGAACAGAGCAAGTTGAGATATGAGTTTTGGGGATCATTTGTTACAATCTCTGAGAATTTAGAAATCAAGTGTGCCAGTTTTGGGGCATTGTTCTGTTCTAAGGACAAGCTGCAGTAATAGAATCTGAGTCCTTGGAGGAAGACAGAGTCCTAAAGCAGGACACCTGTTGGGAAGGGTGTTCCTATAAGCTCCAAGAGGAAGCTAAGAGGGAAGTGAGCTGCCTGACTGCAGGCTACAGCTGATCAGGAGAGTGCTGCAAAAAGGGAGCCAGTAAATGGCCTTAGAGGGTATAGAAAGGTGCCCACATCATGGAAGGCCAAAAAGAGCTTAGAAGCAGGATATGGAAACCAGAGAGACACTTACGGAGTTCCAAATGGAAACAAGGGGGAAAAAAGTTCCAGGCTGCCACAGGTGGGACTGTAGCTCTGTAGCTCCTGAGAGAGACCCAGAATGGTATATCAGGAGGGGAGACAGCAGGAGAAAGGGGAGATGTTCATGTGGGTGTGGATGCCAGAGGTGTCGCAGGCTGCAGGAGCCACAGAGGTACCCATGGGGAGGGCATAAAAGGCTGGAGCCCAGAGGCTGGAGCAGCAATTAGAAAGTAGGTTTATTGTAGCTATATGGGATAACATAGTTAGTGGCAGGAATCCCTGGGAATGTCCAGAGTGTACATAACCAGACTGAAGTGTGCAATGTGGGGAGAGGGGGAGGAGAGGGAAGAGAGAGGGGCCAGGGCAGCAGCCAGGGGGCCCAGGGCAGCAGCCAGGGGGCCCAAATGTATAAAGACAGTGCACGAACAAAATGGTTGGATGAAGATGGAGGTTTCTGTCCCACCTGGTCCCACAGCCACTTTGCCCCAAATAAACACACAGATGCTGTATTAATTATAAACTGTTGGCCCATGGCTGGGGCTTCTTATTGGCTAGCTCTGACTTAATTATTAACCCATAACTACTAATCTATGTATTTCTACATGACCTTATCTTACCAGAGAATGCCTGGTGTGTGTGTCATTTTTCCCATCTCTACATGGCGCCTCTCTACGGCTCCCTCCCTGCCTTCCTACCAAGCCTTCTCCTGGTCTCATAGCCCCGCCTATCCTCCTGCCTCTACTGGCCAATCAGTGTTTTATTCATCAACCAAAAAGAGAAAATACATACAGAAGAAGATCCCTCATTAGTTGGATTATCTAGGGAAGAGCATTTTGAAACCTAACACAGAGGACCACACTAGCCCCTGTATATAGGGCAAGGGGGATGGTACATCATCTCCCTTGTCCTTTATTAATAGGCTTAAAATGTCCAACCAGTTCAAAATTTGTTAGCTAGCAGGATAGATTGGATTATAAGAATAAAGAATAAAATACATGGCAACTAGTGCTGATAGCCTTCTGCCGAGACAACAGTTCATTGTTTCTTCCAAGACTAGAATGTTTTTTGAAGCATTTCATGGGGTAAGGCTCTGAGATTGTCACTATGGGTCCACTGTTAAAATGGTCCCAGACTGAGAAGAACTGCCTGAGTATTGTCTAATTACCAGCATGACCTAAGACATGGAAATTCTACAGATGCACCAAAGATGAGATCCTTTCAAGTGAGGCAGTGGCGGAGTAGTAGGAACTGTGGCACGTGTTCCTATCTTTTACCTGTTTCCTCTTACCTGCTTAAAACTAATTGTGACTTGAAACCAAGCCAGCTTCTTAGTGAATTATTCATCGTGAGTGGCCTTGACATACTGTCTCAGATCAGAGTTTTCTCTTTCAATCATTATTGGAGACTACATTGCCCAGGGACTTGAGACCCCAGAATACCTTCACCTCCCTGAACTCCAGCATGTTGCTTATGCCTCTCAAACCAAGTTAAGACTCACAATTAGTGAAAAAAAGAGAAGGGACATGTAGGGAGTTTAATGAGGGGGAAGAAAGGAGGAGATGATATAATTATGTTACAACATTGAAAAAATTAAAGCAAGGGAAAGGGAGCAATTGCCTCTGGAACTCACAGCTGAAAGTTAGTGGTTCTGGGATGTGCTAAATCCATGTCTGGGGCCAAGGTCCTTGGGGGCTCCCTACAGTGTTTCGCAGGGACTTTCTGGAAGGACCACTATTTGCTCAAGATTTTCCCCTGCTGAAAAACAGTTGATCAGAGCCTTGCAATATCCATATTTCAATACTTCCTTTTCTTTTTCACCAGTTTCCATAGACAAGAAATTTGGAAATAGCTAAAAGTGAAAGTTTTAAAATCCTGTAAGATCTTCTGGCTCAGAACTGGGTTCAAGCATTGGATTGGAATGTAGGAAGGCTTTGTAGCCTCTGTACTTCATTGCTTCCTGGATACAGTGAGTCTAAAAGAACAGCTTCATGTCTAAAGTGACCAGTGTCCTGAGCTAGCAGAAGCTGACCATGGATGCACATTTCTTGGGGGCTTAGAGCATCATTCCTTAAATAAAAAGGCTTTGGGCTAGAATCTGAGCAGTAGCATCCATCACCACCACACAATGCTGTGAGGCAGGCTTTCTCACAGCTTCCTCCTCTCCTCCCATTGGAAACACTGGTTAGGATTCTTTCTGCCAAGTCCTGCGGTCCTCCAGAGTATGTTGGAGCCTGTGAGGAACAGATCTGAAGTGAAATAAATCACAAACCAGATTATAGCCATTTACCTTTCTATTTTCTACAATTTAAAGACAAATGAGAAGAGTCTCCACATCTGTAAAATGACAACGTTTGCTGGAAGGATCCGAAACTCTGGGAATAAGACTCAGATAGGTGGGAATTTCTCTTAAGTATCAAAATGGCAGCAGAGAAAAAAGTTATTTGGGATTTAGTACTACAGCCAGCATGTCTTTCTCATGGGAACCAGTATGTTTGCAAGTTATCTTAGCTCTCTGATCTGGCTTCTTTTCTTTTGCAGCTTCATCTGGCAGTTGCATGCTTGGTCCTTGAAGCCAGCAGGAAGTGGCTTTGGATATTGACACTATCCCTGTCTGGCCTCAGAACATCTTAACAAACTTGTTTAAGCCCCAGTTTCTGTTAGTCACCTGGGAGCAAAGCAGGTACCTACTCTAGGGTCACAATTCCTTTAAAAATGTGCAACACAGCCAGGCCTGTGGTAAACACACACTGAAGATTGCTTCCAGCCAATTTAGGGGTATGAGCATAAAACCGTAAGCAATGATGAGCAGCTTCCAAGGTGTCAGAATTACAGAATCTTCCAGAGTTTTGTTCTCATTGTATAGGAAATGGGATTGTTACCAAACAAAACACCAGTTATCTATACACAGAATGGGTGAGTTCTTCTAGGAAATAAATTTTCAGTGGTGGAGATTTTAATCCTTTTCATGGCACCATTTAAATTTAAATGCTTCTTTAGTGATATATATATCTCCTTGCCTTCTTGTGCAAAGTTTTCTGTACACAACTAATCAGTGTCCTTCTTTCCAAGCTGTTGTTACCCACATCAATTTTACTGTGGTGTATTTTAAGAGATGGGGTGTTCTTCCTTGAAGCAAACATCTGCCCACTGTTCCCTCTACTTTGTGTATGGCTCTCAGCCTTTCTACAGTCCTACCTATTTCATAGTGTTCTCATAGTGGTACACAAAGAATATGGCATGCCGTGTGGTCAGATGGGTGAGGTAGCTGATTTGGGCATTTTAGGAACTATATTCTGGCTTGATATTGTATACACCTTGATGTTCAAATCCAAGTTTCTGGACCTTGAGATTTTATCTTCATCTCTTGTATTAATTGTTGTTGCATTCTTATTTACCTTTACATTTTTTCAAATTTTTATCTTATTTATAACTATTATTATTTGTTTGGGGGAGGGGGAAGGATCCAGGGACAACTTTGGGAAGTCAGTTCTCTTCATCCACTTTGGGTTCCTGGGATCACACTCAGATTGTCAGGTGTGTGGTGCGTGCATTTTTATTTGTTTGCTTGTTTGGGTTTGGTGTTTTTGTTTTTTTCCTGCTGAGTCATCTTGCTGGGCCCTATTTTACCTTTTAATTTTATTTTTTAACAAGAATTTGGATGGGATTAAGCTTTCAGTAGCTTCTGTCTATTAATGGTGTCTGTTGGGTGGTGGGGACAAGACATGGAGTAATATGATAGGGGCTTAAAATATCTCATATACAAAGTTTCCATTGCCAAGAGCTTCTGTTTTGTAGTAAGAGTACCTTTCTCAGTTGATGAAGGAAAACAGTCTTAGCCACCTGCTTCCTTCAAATGCACGTTATGTGGAAAACCAGCAAAGGTCCACTTCACACAGTTCCCATTTCAGTGTTCCTCTCATACTCTGATAATTTCCAATATCAGGTTTATGTTCAAATTCAAGAAATATTCAAAAAGAGGTCTAAGAATAACATAGTTCCCACTTCAAATGAAATCATGCATATTTCTGGACCTTGAAATTTTATGCAAATTTACATATCTTTAATGTCCTGCCCCTAAGATTTTAATCAAATACTAAATTTAATACAAATATTAAAGGCATGAATAAAATCCTCATTACAAAGCAAGAAGCTTTGCCATGGGAACACATATACGGTCTCTGAAGAGATACTGCTTCAGGGTTCTATAGGAGTCACAAGTATGCAGAAGGCATGCATACTCACACATAAACATACCCCCCCCACACACATTCATTCACACCACACACATATATCTTACTCAAATATACATATAGTCACATATCATACACAGAAATACTCACATATCACAGTCACATACACACATACTACACGCATGCATACATTCATGCACATACCACACACACACACACACACACACACACACACACACACACAGCCCACTACACACAAGTTTGTTTAGCAAGGATTGTTTGGGAAAATTTTAACTTTACCACCAGTTGCATCTGAATGGAAGGTCTGGTCTGACGTGGAGGGATGACACATCGCATGCTAAATCCCTCAGTTCTTCCTTCAAAGAAGTTTTTTTTGTGAAGCTCTCACCCCAGTCCAGATAATTGTAATTTTGGATAGTCTAAATTGCTATGGCATAGATAAAGGTGGAAAGACCTCATTTAGGTGTCTATGAATGAATTAATCAGTAGATGCCCACATGTAACCCCCAGTGAGACCTGGTAACATAATTTCTTTCTATTTGCTGTGACAGTTGCCCTGTCCTCATTACAGAGCTTACCTAAGAAGTTCGGGTTACTTTTTTCAGGAAACAGATACAAAAAGCTTCTGGAAAAGAATAAACCATGGGGCTCTGAGAACATCCTCACTTATGCAGCAGAGCCTAGTAGCTTATGCTCTGGGTGGATATGGGGCAGGGCTTCTGTCAAATTCTGGTCTGCTATCTACTTACTGGAGAGCTTGAAAAATGTTTCTGTGTGTCTGTTGTGGAATATTAATTTAACTATGTAAAGATGTGTTACATTTGTTTATGTTGTATACTTTATGTAAAGGTGTGTTGCCTTTGTTTATGCTACATTTGTTTAGCTATGTAAAATGTGTTAGTTTTGGAATAGGTTTGTTTATGCTACATTTGTTTAACGATATAAATATGTATTGCTTTGCCTGCCTGAGGCACCCAGGTGGTCTAATAAAAAGCTGAACCACTAATATCGAGGCAGGGCTGGCAGGCAGAATAAGTAAGAGGAGGAATTTAGGCTGAAAAGGTCGAGAGAATAAGGGAGACAGAGAGGGTGATGCTTGGGTCCAGTCAGGCAGGCAACCACCAGCCAGCCAGCCATGGAGGAAGCTGGGAAGTAGGGCATAACAGAATCAAAGAAAGGCAAAAAAAAAAAAAAAAAAGTCCTGAGGCAAAATGTAGATGAAGAGAAAGAAGTTAAAGTAAGTTCTAAGAGCTAGTGAGACAACTTTCATGATTGATCATACGTCTCCATGTCTTGATTTGAGGGCTGGTTGGTGGTCAAAGAAAGCCTGCTACGTGTGTCTTTGTGTTCCATCTATACAGTAGGGCCACTGAAATCCATCATTTTTAAAATAAAATAAGGCCTGGCAAATGGAAATCACTGAAACTATGGAGAGGTGAATACAGTCTGAAGGACATGAAAATATAAGGCTATGCCCAAAATGCAGATTTCACGGAAGTAGGCTTGGGGTAGGGGGCCGTAATTTAAGCGTAATCATACAGAGTATGAGGGCTTCAGACTGAGGTTTCCTGGTCTTCACAAGTGTGGCTTGTGGCAGGGCCCTGTGAGAACTCCAGTGCCAAGCAAGAAGAGACCACAAAGGCTGTTGCTATGAGGGGAGAGGTTGGGCTTTATGAGAAGGTAGCTTCTGTGGAATAGGTTTGACGAGCTGGTTTAACAAAGGTGGTATTTAGGACGACTGATAACATTACCTTATAAAGTATTTTGTTTTGTTCCTCTCAATGCAGCAAAGAATAAACTGTATCACCAGATAATAGAGATGAATAAACAAGTTCAGACTTGAGCCTACAGGCAAAATCTGTTAGGGAATAAGGGGAGAAACACTAGTTCAAGGCCAGAGCTCTGTCCTTTCATGGCTGCCTCTTGGGTACTAATTGGTGAGTTCCAGAATCATGCAGGCAGCTGTAGTATGGAAAGGTTAAGCCATTGTCAGAAGGAACCCCTGAGTTTGGTTGGATTAGAAGGATGAATTGGAGATGAGAACTGAAGGAAAAATGTGGCTCCGTGATGCTACAAGTTGGTGCTCTGGGAGGTCAGCTGCTGATGGAGCAGGGGTTTAGTTTTGGGGCTGAGCATGAGAGTTGTAACCAAATGCACATGGGTTCCTTCTGGAATAGCACTGTGAAGCCAGTCACAAGCCATGGCAGGGACAGATATGGGAACAGCCACATTGATATCATTTCTGTAGATGTCCCTGGGTGAACACAGGTCTGGTGCTCTTCCCCTCTTGGCTGAAATGATGGGTGGGTGCTCTGTAAGCTCCAACAGAACAGCAGTGCTCCTCACCCACAAGCTGTGTTTCAAGGCAGCTGGCTTGGAACTGAATAGTACTGGTTCCTTAGTGGTTTTGTTTTCTGACTTACACACACCTGTGACAAACTTTTACCTTTTCTCTTAATGGGCATTTTGATGGCTTCTCTTTGGCATGGTCAAATTGCCAGCATCCACACTCCATTCCTTATAAAAGAGTGAATTGGGGCTTATCTGAACACACACTGAGATATTGCAGCAGTCATCCGATAACTGAGACATTTACTAAGTAGTTAACAGGCCACTAGTGCATACAGGGTGGACACACTGGATAATAGGTTGAGTCATATCTGAGTAGGTAAGGGGGAGGAGCCAGACCAGAAGAGATTTATTCCTACACTGAGAGAGATACACTTTTGTCTATAGGTGTATAAGTATGTATACATCCATGCAGGTGCACGTACTGTGTGGGGACAGGTACGTGTGTGTTGTGTGTGGATGTGTGTGTAGAGGCCAACAGACAATGGGGTATTTTTCCTCAGGTTCTGTCCACCTTTTATATTTCTGATACAGGATCAGCCTAGAATTCACTGACCAGACTAGGCTGGCTGGCTAGGGAGTCCCAGGGGTCCACATGTCACTGCATCCCCCCACAGCAGACCTCCATACTTGACTTTTTTTCAAAATGTAGATTCAAAGAATCAAGCTCAGGTCTTTTCACTTTCGAGGCAAGCACTAAGAATTTTGGCTGGCTTTGTTTCTGGAATTTTCCATTAAAAATTTTTAGACAAGATTGACTGGTGATAACTGGACCTGCAGAAAGTAGCCAGGACCGCTGTCACAGTTCCCCCACCACCCATCAGCCTCCTCCCCATGTGTTGGTTGATGTCTTACCTTTTCCCTCTTGGCTCCACCATGCATCACAGGAATGAATGAAGAGATGATGTTTGAAACTAACAGATTGCCAGGCTCCCTGCAGCGCCCAGGCCAGGACTTCTGTTGATCCGACAGCTCTGACACAGAGGCTCACTCCACATGCCAAATAGCTCAGTCATATCTGAGAAGTGACTTCCTACACACTCCACGGGGGCCTTCCCTTCTGCATTTGAGAGTATGTGTAGAGGTTCAGAAGTCTTACATATCAGGTCAACATGACTGTGGTTTGGGAAAAGTGAATTAAAACTTCTTGTCACAGAGTAAAATGAATGGTCAGGTTCTTAGAAATAGATGAAAGATAAATAAATGATGGTACAAACAATGAGAATGAAATTATATTTGAGGCTTCTGTCCCCTCTGATCAAATAATAAGTAGTTCAAATGCTATTATTTGAGAGAGTAAGGAAGTGATACTATAAAAATAAACACATTTCTCTGGCATCCTTTATCTCTATGTATTACTGTCATGAGAAAGGTTTGTTCCCTGTAGTTCCTACGGCAGTGTCTGGCAAGCTCTGCAGACTGGGACTCCCTGAGAGGCGTGAAAAGCATTAGATATGTGGGAGAGAAGATGGGCACAGTCCTAGCTACCCTGTGAGGAAGGGAGAGCTGAGATAAAGACACTGTGTACTCCCAGAATGAAGGAATTCAAACCTAAAGCCACCTCGGGGGCTGTGGTTGCATCCATGCCTTTCCTCTCTTGTACCCCCTTCTTCATCATCGTTTCCTTTTGTAAGTGAAACATGATTATGAATGTGCTTTCCAGCAAAAAAAAATCATTTATTTTTGTTCACATTTTTTTAAGATGCCAAATCTGCAGCACAGCTCCCAGGGCTGCTTGCTTCTCTCTCTCTCTCTCTCTCTCTCTCTCTCTCTCTCTAACTTGAGCTTAGCCTTTCTCACACTGTGGGTCTGCCTGAAGACTCCAGGAGTAATTTAATACAGGGCAGCATGTCTGCTGTGATGAAGGAGACAGAATGGATTCCACTATCAGAATTTTCTCAGGAAGTTGCCCCTGGAAAATAAAGTGTTGGCCATTTTCACTGTACTGAGTAGTTTTATATCAACTTGACACCAGCTAGAATCTTTTGGAAGAAGGGACATCAACTGGGAAAGTGACCACACCAGACTGGCCCATGGGCAAGACTGTGATAGATTATCTTGATTGGTGTTTTATTTGGGGGCCCCAGCTCACTGTGGGAGGTGCCACCCTTGGGCTGGTGGTTCTGGCTCCCATAAGAAAGCAGTCTGAATAAGGCACGAAGAGCAGGTAAGTGGCAACCCTCCATTGCTTCTGCTTTGGTTCCTGTCTTCAGAGGTTCCTGCCTTGAGTTCTGATCCTGATTTCTTTGGTTGATGGACTAGTGTAGTGAGGTGAAATAAATCCATTTCTTCTCAAGTCGTTTATGGTTATGGTGATTTATCATAGCAATAGAAAAAATGGTCCCAGTTTATAGTGTATTGCTATGACACCCTGGAGCATATTTTGGGAAGAATAATGGAAGGATTTGGGAACTTTGGGCTGGAAAAGCCAGTGAGTACCCACAGCATGGTAAGCAGGCATGGAGATTTGTTGTAGGCCCCGAGAGCAGTGCAGACAGAGGTCTAGCTTGTGAAGTTTCAGGGAGAAGCTAAGACTCTATCAGGGCCATTTGATATTTCAAATTAAGAGTCATGGTTCTAGTCAGCTGGGGCTGAAAATTTAGCGGTTATTAACATAAGACCAGCCACACTGAAGTAAATGCTTTGCTCTCCTGGGACAAGTGATGCTGGTTAGCTGAGAAACCAGTGGTGATGAAGAGGAGACCATAATAATCCAGTAAATCTGGGGCTATTAGCCCAGGGTCAGCACACAGAACCTGTGGTCCAGAGGGGGCTAAGACTGAGTATCAGGTGGCAGCCAAACTTGGTAGTGTAAGAGTCACCGAGGCAGTGCTGGCTTTGAAGGCAAGAAGGGGTTTTGGAGAATAGCTGAGACTTGGCAGTGTATGGCAAGCTGGAGTCCCTGAAGAGATGACAGGAAAGACTATGGATGAAGGTGCAGCCCAATTGCAGCAGATATTCTAACATTTTGGAGATGCAAATACCCTGGAACAACTGCCAAGGACAGCAGCAGTCATGGAGTGGAGCTGGGCTTAGCCTAGAAGTGCTGTGTGTGCTGTGCAAGCCCTTTGGAGCCTAGGAGATTATGAGTCCCAGGATTCTCACATTGAGCTTCATGCTGTTGATCTGTGGTTTTACTTTGATCTGATTATGACTGTGTCTTGTTTCTTCTCTCTTGGAACAAGAAAGTGTGTAACTTAGAGATGGAATAAGAAAGTATGTAACTTAGAGACTTTGAAACTTTAATCATAGTTAAGATTTTTGGAGACACTTTTGAATTTGGATATTTTAGAGATACTGGATATTTTAGAGAAGAGAGATTAAGGCTGTGGGACTTTTTGTATGTGTTTATTTATTTGTTTGTCTGTTTTTCCATCCCAACTTCAGTTCCCCCTCCCTCCTCTCCTCCCAGTCCTTCCCCTCCTACCCACTCCTTCCCATTGACTCCTTCTCCATTTCTCTTCAGAAAAGGGCAGGCCTCCCATGGATATCAACCAGTCATGGAGCATCAGGTTACAGTAAGACTAGGCACCTCCTCTTCTAATAAGACTGGACAAGGCAACCCAGTATGAGGAATAGGGTCTCCAAAGCAGGGAACACAGTCAGAGACAGCCCCTGCTCCCACTGGTAGGAGTCCTACAAGAAGACCAAGATACACAACTGTCACACATGTGCAGAGTGCCTATGTCAGTCCCATGTGGGCTCCCTGCTTGTTGGCTCATTCTCTGAGCCCCTATAAGCCTAGGTTGGTTGATTATGTGGGTTTTCTTATGATGTCCTTGACCCATCTGGCTCCTACAATCCTTCCTTACCTCTGCTACAGGATTCTCTGAGCTCCATCTAATAGTTACTGTGGGTCTGCATCTGTATCCATCAGTTTCTGGGTGAAGCCTGTTTGAATATTGTTAGGAATCATTTCATTGACTTTTTTTCTCCAGTTGTGTTGGGTTCTATTCTAAATCTCCAGGCTATCCTACCTCTGGGTCCTGGCCTTTTAGACAGTATCAGGGATGAGCTCCTTCTCACAGTGTGGATCTGAAGCTGGTTGGTTATTGGTTGGCCACTCCCACAATTTGTGTGCCACATTTACCCCAGCACATCTTGTAGGCAAGACAAATTGTAGGTCAAAAGTTTTGTGGCTGGGTTTGTAGGACTGTGGGACTTTTAATGGTGAGTTTTATGTTATCCTCATATGTTCTCCATGTTTCACACACACAGAAATTGGCATTCTCATACAGTTACCAGATTAAGAAGAGACAACAACAGGATCTGAACACAGCTCCTCTCCCACTGATGCCTTGTGCTGTCTCACTAGCCATTATCTTAACAACAGGGAGCATTTTGGAGACCACTATAGAGAAATGTGTGCATATCCTCAGTGTATGTCTGGCAGTCATATTTACCATTCTCAATGGATTATCACATCACACCATAAGACAAATCCTGTTAGACACTTATTGAAAAACATTTTCCTTTAATATTTCTAATAATGTGTATGTGTGAGTGTCTATGCAGGTGAGTTCAGATACCTGGGGAGCCATAGGCACTGAATCCCTCTAGGGCTGGGGTTGTAGGCACTGATACGTCTCTCCAGCCCCCTCATTAGATATGGTTATCTTTCACATTGACTTTGAACATTGCTTTGCAAGTGCAAAAGAATAATGTGTGGGTCATTTACAGTAACATCCTCTGACCTTACAGATCTGCAAGGCTGTATCTGCAGCCAGTCTGCTGTGGTTGGAATAGGAAATGTTTCTTTGGGCCAGTGTAGCAAACATTTGTTGGCAGAGCTTCTTTGAGAGATGGTGGAAATTTTAGGAGGTGTGCCTAGTTAGAGGAAGCAGGTCACTGGGGGTGTACCTTTGGAAGTTATACTTGGTCTGCCTCCTACCTCGTGTCACCACAATGTTTTACCTTGCCACTTGCCAAGAGTCTACAGAACCAATTAACTGTGGACTAAAATGTTTATGTTGTTCTATCTGGTCCTTTGTCACAACAGTGCCAAGTCTGATGAACATAAGGGCAGACTAATTAGTCATGCAATCATCCAAGGAGCAGCTGTGGCTTTGTCAGAATGCTGTGTTGGGCTACTGCCCATGTATGTTGTACTCACATCCATGTTGACCTAAGGCTTTAGGGGGTAGCAGGACAATTTGGATGACACAATGTAAAAGTTAATTGCATGGCACTTTGCCAGGCTCTTTCAAAGAAGAGCAGAAGGCAAGTGTGTGCATTTACCCTGACATCCCCTACCCTTTCCTTCTAAAAGTCGTTGGTGGGTGTGGTCACAGCTCCAAGCTAAAGTCAGGATGGGTGTCAGCTTGTGTATAGTTCCTTACCTGTACCCAAAGGCCACAGAGCTGAAACAGCCTACGATACCCTTTCTTTTTTTCCTGTTTTTCTTTAATCAACTTATTTTTATTCTTGGATAATTTCATCTATATATGTTACATATGCATAGTTTCATATATATATTATATTATATTATATTATATTATATTATATATATAATGAATTTTAGTCCTTTACCCTTATTTCTGTCTCAACTCTTTTCCCTCCTGTTGAAACCCTTCTTCTTTCCAAGTCCCCTTCCTACTTTTTGCTGTGTGTGTGTGTGTGTGTGTGTTTGTGTGTGTGTGTGTTCCACTGAGTTCATGGAATGATAGGTTATTTGCTGGGGAACTTATCAGTGCATCACTGAAGAGTGTGATACCCCTTTCCCCAGCTGCCATTAGCTATCAATAGTTCTGGGTGTGTGTAATATAGATATCCCATTTAGGGCAGACTGTTGCAGTCAGGTAGTCTCTGCACATTGACCAATTGAGTTCACTGCAAACAGAAGCTTCTTTGATCAAGGCTGAGAGCTGAACTAAGATAAAGTATAAAGACAATATTAGAAGGCAGTTTGATGTGCCCTGAAGTGAATTTAGTAGTACAATTGTGGGGCTGTGTTCTGACTAGTTTTATGTCAACTTGATACAAGCTAGAGTTTTCGG